GTCTGCTGGATTCTGTCAACATCATGAAGAAAGAAACATGTTCGGGTTATTATTCTCCATGTAAGGGAGAAACAAAAGAGAATAATCTCGTGCTTGCTCTTTCGTACTTTTGGAAAGCCTCAGTGTACGTCATGTTTTGACTATGTAACGTGTAATCCCAAACCATCACATTTAGTTACTTCTTTCGTTCAAATGTTCTTATATCATCATCATTTCAGTCTAAGTGATGTCATATACATGTTTGTATCACAATATTATTAGATTCTAAACCAAACCCATGGTTTCTTTATTGATAAGATTCCATATCTATTCAGTAGGCAAACTCTTCAGTATGTAAAACAGCGGAACGTGGGAATTTGATCCGTCTCTTCACGCTTAGAATCTATCTGTTTCACAAGTAACTTCCTAACATCTCTGACGGTAGTGTCCCTCGTTCCACACACTCCAAAGTTTCAGCTGCACTTACTGCCCTCAAACGTCAGAAATGATGTAACACACTGTTCCCGATAGATGCTCCAAACAACCGACTTCTGTGTTGTGAGCAAACGGAGTCACATCAGAGGTAGAGGTGGAGGCAGGAGCCAGGCACTTCGACTCTGCAGACAAATACTAATACCAATCACAAGTCCAAGAGATTGACAACGAGGACGAATGGAAGTTCGTGATCGTTGTGGCGGCCATGGCCATAATCTCTAACTAACACCAGACGAAATTGGAGTCTGTGTCAACGCCTGTTGGCAGGTAGACTCAACTCTCGTACTAAAACCAGTTGGTACCCGAGCTCGTCATGGATATGAGAGCCATGATCAAGGACACACCTGTCGGGCACACTTTGGGCACCGAGATCGGCCGAAAGCTCATGACGACAATCGATTGTTGTCGTTCCTTCCGGGTGCAGGTACCGCATTCACACAAGTTCGTTCGTGGCAACTTCTCCTGTTCTTTGGAAAGTCAAAGGCTGCTCATCTCTCCTGCTCCGCACAGGAGAGAGGAAATCGAACGTGTCACATTGGTTCTGAGATATGGCACACAACTAGAACTTATCCTTCCTGCCTTCGTTCCATTGGCCGCATAATGAATCGTGACTCAATGTACACAAACTCACAGGACTTGAACTGGGATGGGATGAATTCTCGACGAATCTATTCAGGTCGAGAGAATTAAACAGCCGATATTAATGAGAATCCAGTGATGTTCTTTCCGGTTGAGTGGAAACGGGAAATGGAAAGGGCCAGCAGCATTGGTCTGCGATCAGTAATGCGATCGCATTGCACAATTGCCGGTCGACTCAGCTCTCTGTCGATTCATCATGTACGAAGAGCACTTTCGACTGGGGGCAGAAGAAAAGCACACTCCAGTTCAGAACCATTCTCGAGAGTACGATGGGATCGATGCTTCGTTCGAATGATCACGGTCTTTTTCGTAATTTTCTTGTTTGGGTGGCTGTGTTTTCCCCCGCCGTACGTCGATCGTCCACACACCGAAACACCTCGACGCAGAGATTCGAGATATAGGAACAGATTCTCGAGCTGATCCGAGCAAACAGAGCTCGAATAACTGAATCATAGGCGTACCCAATGCATCTATCATCTGAACAAGAGAGAGTGAGAGCTGGTTCGACCGATTGCCGGTGGATGCTCGAATCCGATTGCTTGCCGTGCTTGGCGGTGAACCGGATAAGAAGGCAGGCACTTCGTCGGGTGCATGCGTGTGAGCACACACCATCTCCGAGCGAAGACATTTCGTCAGCTACCGGAGCGGCCCTCTCGTGACGATCAAAAGGAAAAGAAGAGGCTCGCCTGAGCCCAGGACTCAATCATTCCCGGCTCACCGAGCGTGTCAGTGCGTTCAGATTCACCGCCGGCTGACACCTTTCGACTGAAAAGTAAAAGGAAAAGCGTTCCGCTTCGTTTGTAACTTACGTTGCGCCACTTCCCCACCTACCGATCAAACCTTTTCTTTCCCGATCTCAAGATTTTCCCAATTTTTTTATTCGAAACTGACAGTCGACCTCGACATGCCGGATCATCTCAGCAAATCTACTTCCCGATCAGATTACACATAGAATTGTTTCTTCCTTTCCGTATGATTAACAACACAATAAATACTCTCTGCTGAAAAGTAGCTCGTTCCCTCTAGCTGCTGGTGCATGAACCTGGCCCAATCGCATCCTTCGCACGGAGGAGGAAGGTGAGAATCATGCAATTTGTGCATATCCAAAGCGAGTAAATTCGCAGATCGCCCGAGGAGAGAGTGAAGCAGAGAAGCAGAGATGGCTGCAAGGCTGGACCGAGATGGAAGGCTGGGCTAGATGAGCCTACCTGAAGCCTACCTGAGAAGGAAGCATTATTCTTCAGCAAGGAGTCGTGGGGTGCAGATATTATGTGGACGACGACCTGCTGGGCACGAACCGCCTCCCATTGGACACACTCTATCCAGTGTCGCGGTTCCAGAGGCACATAAAAAATGTACGATAATGAAGGACACAGATCCGATGAGGATCGCAGGAAACATAAAGAATGTCGTGGCACGCCTTGTCCACTGCGCGGGCACACGCCGGGTGCGAGCTCGTCCGGAGGCCTGCCAGTGACCCGGAACCCTGTCGAGACTGATTGCTTCGAGCGCTCGCAGACTCCACCGTCTCGGACTCATTTAATTCTGATTTAATTATTGGAGCTCCAGCCTATCCCCTCTGTCAACGCTTGTGCCAGAAAACTTTTCCATGCTGCCCGAAAGTACTGTCAAGGTCGCCTGTCTTCTATATCCTTTGCTGCGCTTCTGGGGGTTTCCTTTATTTACATTTTAATTTTCTCTTGAACTTCAATCAGAAGTTTAAGAGAATCAATTATAAGCGGTTTCTCAAGACTGCGTATCCCTTATCTTATATTTGCATGTGGTGTGAAAAGAGGTTTTTTGATAGAATCTCAGTCTTCATGAGATCACTATGGTTTCTGGTGAGTTTTTTATGGGAGGTTAACTAGTGATTTTTTTTGCGTACTTTCTTTAAAGTAGTTAATATTTTACGAGGTTGTGGTATACACTCCCACGCATTGAGCGTTGCGAGTGCATAGAAGTTGTTGATTGTTGCAATTTTGAAATAGAATGGCGAGATAGATAGATAGAGAGGCGGTAAGGCATGATTTTGTTGGATAATTGAGTGCTTCATTAAGGTAGTTTTGTGTTAGAGGTCAATAAAAAAATGGAAAGACCTGGATAGAAATGGAAGAAAGTGATGGCTTGGAGGATTGAAAGGAAAACAAAATATGATGAGGTAGCAATCAATTTGTTTGAAAAATTCTGGACTCCATTGAAAACCTTGTCATCAATATAATGGATGTTGTGTGAATATTATGTGATGCATATGTATGAGATGAAAGATGCGCAAAGTAGAGTTATTGGGTACTGAGTTGAGATGTAGATATGAACAAATTTCCTTCAAATGCATGATAGAAAAATCAATCATGACAATGAAAAGAGATCCACGAACTTCATCAACTCTTCCACGTTTCTAGAGCTGTAAATATCAGCTTGAAAAGAAATATTTTCATGGATGGGAAAGTCCCCAAAGCGCTACACCATTTTCCTCATGTAGGTGAAAAAGTTCATGTTATCTCAATTACAGAGGATCCGCTTCATAAAATTGGCATTTTATCTGAAGATTATTTTAGTAATATGGTGAGTAAGGGACTTGTGAGAAATCTGCAAATTGCACTTTAATTGTTGGTTATGAACATATTGTTCTTTTGTTGTAGTTAGAGAGAGTAGATTGCAGAAACTTTACCGTCTTGTGGTTGATTTTGTGCAACTATGTGGATGAAATAATCTGCCCTCTATGTTTGCTTTTTATCCACATTCTTGTCTTGAACGTTTCGTTGCTTACTTTTCCCAAACGGCAGGTAGAAGACACATGAGAACGATTTTTTGTAGTTTATCGACAAAATGTCGACATTTTAACATTGTACGTTGCCCACACTAATCGAATGATACGGATCTCACTTTATGCTCAAAGTTGACTTTTTTGTCCGCATTAGGAACACGGATAACTTGTTCTTACTTTTGATTTCCGATTTATTTGCTTCACATCTCACTACGTCGCGCATTAAAGCTCAAAATCGATATTCAAAACGATCACTGATGCTCACGACCACATTAAATGGGCTATAAACTCTAGGACTTGCTTGCCGGATTGAACTGTTTCGCAAAATAACAAAGCATTTTGAAATAAACAAGAAAATTATGTATGTAAGACAGTTATAATAAATGATTAGTTTACCGAAAAGTTTTATTATATTTTCATTTGTGGTAATTTATAAATCTTACTTCGCTTTGTAATATAGGATTTGAAAGCAGCAGAGTTATGATAGATGATGACACAGATCGACCACATCTGATCACGCTGTTGGTTGCAGAACAGTTCATATATCAGGACACAATAATTCTGAGCGTAATGATATTGGGGGCCACTCGATCGATGGGATGGCAACCTTCGCATCCTTCGTGTTATTTTACTTTGTCCCCTCCCCTCCTCCTTCTCCGATGCTGTAGAGCTGAGCTGGAGGTCCACCACCCGCTTCACCAAACAGTTATCCGAAGAGAAACCCGGGTCTAAACTTGGACCGGCAGTTTCGCGCGAAGCCTTCTCCGAAAACCAGAAACCAGAAAATAGCAAAGCTTCGCAAACCCTCCAAGGAACTAACTAACTCCATACGCCACCGCGGCCCCGGCCTCCGGGGGTGCCAGCGACGGGTTTGACCCGATCTAGGGTTCCGCACTGTGGAAACATATTTGCCGAGATAGTTCCCGGTTTCGAGACAGCCCGCATCGAAAACTCGGGCTCGAAGATTCGCCGGAATTTCAGCACGAGGCCCGCACGATTGGCCGAGCGAGCTCAGAATAGTCGCCCATGAAAGGCCATTATCTCGTTCTGGGAGCTCCACAGTCGCAGAGAGCGCGCAGGAAAATCCTAGCCTCGCCTCGGTCGGTAGCAGCAGCAGGGGGGCGAGGACGAGGAGGAGTGCGGGGGAGGAGAGGGAGGGGGGAGGCTATAAGGCCCGATCACGAGGGGCAGCGGAGCAATTTGGCTCCGGCCGAAGTAAGCAGTGGCTGCGGCTGCACTATAGAGAGAGGGAGAGGGAGAGGAGGTGGGGGGGCCTTTTGTGTCCGGCTCCGTGTCCGTTCGAAGGACGGACGAGTACGGATTTTGTCGCGTAGCTCCCAGTGGGGGGCACTGGCGAGCGAGCCATCATCGGGCACTAGGGCCCGTCTGCTGTTCGCTCGCTGACAGGCGCCAATGCAATGATGCATGGCGCCGGGCCTCGATCCTCTGTAACCAGGTTTCAGTGATCTCTACGATACATCAAGCGTCCGCCCTTTCCCCCACCAAGCGCTCCTCCTCGAGTACGACACTCGAGCACGCTAAGGGACAAAGGCTCGTTCTCTTCCCGGCTACGTCTTCGCGCGGGGACGGGAGGGGTGAGAAGAGACGAGACGGGACGAGACGAGCCGAGCAGGCAGGGGGACGAGACGACGTGGAAGGTTCGGAGTGGCTGCGACTGGAGAACAGGAAGGAGGCCGGCGAAGGGGGTGTTTGGGACCGGCGGAGGAGCACGGGATGAGCGTATGCACGCAGCGTGGAAGCTTGTGGGGAGCATGAAGGCGGCCAAGTGGCAAGGGCGGATGGTGGTCCGAGGAATCTAGGCCCGAGTTTTTTCAGGTGGGTGAAATTCGTGCTCCTATATAACCCAAGCCTATTCCCGAACTTCCTCATCCCATCCAAGAATTTCGCTGCTCTCGTTTGCTTTTTGCGAGCTAGCGAGCTGTGCTTCGTGTGTGCGCTCCGGTCCCCGAGAAGAAGTGGAAGAATCACCAGCAGGAGGAGGGGAGTGACATGTGACAAGAGCAAGGGGTGTGGATGACAGAGATTTGCAATAGTTTTCAATAGGCTCCCCGAGGATCTTTGGGGGAAGGCTGTTGGTTTGTGCTGTGAAAGGATTGTGGGTTGTCCCCGTCCTCTGGTTACACTCGATGCTCATATCATCAGTTGCCGCTTGAACGACCAACTTTTCGGCATTCCTGGTCTCGAATTCGTCTCGAATTGGATCGAGCTGCCAGCGTTTCTGTTTATGGTCTGGGGTCGTTCAGTGGGGACAGCGAAAAACAGAGGTCGGACGAGAATCATCCAATTCTTTTACCCGTAGAGTAGAATTAACCGAAAATACCGAAAAGAGGGCGAAACGTGGCGGGGTTGAAGAGGCAAGGATTAGATCTTCTTGATCTCCTCGGAGGCTGTCATAACTCGTAATGATTGTTTTTCAGTGGTGAAGGTGTGTTCCACATCTTGGAGGAGTCGTTAGAAGGAAGGGACACGGGAGAGTGGGAGGGAGAGAGATAGAGAGCCGAGGAGGGGATGATCAGCTGACGGATACCGATCCGATAAGCAAAAATAGTGCCATCGGTAGCGTCATGGTGCGTTGAAACGGAGGATTGGCGGAGAATTCAGGGAGGTGGCCATCGGTGAGGGAAGTCCCAGGCTTTGAGAGCATTTTAATTCGTCGCAACGATGGCTCCTTCAAAAGACCCGCTGCTTTCGGGGGTTCGATCTCGCGGGATCGATGAGGGGCGCCAAGCGCTGGGACTTCGGTTGGCGAAGGAAGAGGACGAGAGGGCCTATGATAAATCGCAGCAGATTGACATGAGCCAGTATGATGACAAAGACGACGAGGATGTGGAGAGCGGAGATTACACTCCCAAATTCTCGTGGAAGAAGTTATGGCTGTTCACTGGGCCGGGATTTCTGATGAGTATCGCTTATTTGGATCCTGGAAACATCGAGAGTGACATTCAAGCAGGAGCAGGGGCAGGTTATTCGCTCTTATGGCTGCTGATGTGGGCGACCGTGATGGGTTGCATTGTTCAATTGCTGGCTGCTAGACTGGGTGTGGCCACAGGGTGCCACTTGGCTGAGCTTTGCAGGGAAGAATACCCATTCTGGGCCAGAATTCTGCTCTGGCTCATGACTGAAATTGCAATCATCGGAGCAGATATACAGGAGGTTATTGGAAGTGCTATTGCATTTCGAATTTTGGCAAATGGGATGATCCCTCTCTGGGCAGGAGTACTCATCACCGGAGTTGATGGGTGAGTTAACGTGTGAACAAGCGTAGCAGGTGATCACTTTCTTTCTTGTTCTAGGTCTAGATGTCGGAAAGTCGCTGCAGCTGTCGTAGATGTGTCGGGATCATTTCTCTCCGCGCTTTTTTCAGGAAAAATTGGTGCACTTACTTGCTGTTGTGGCTGTGGTCAGATTCGTCTTCTTGTTGCTGGAACAGTTCGGTGTGAGGAAGCTTGAGGCCCTGTTTGGTGGTTTCATCTCCATCATGGCGATATCATTCGCATGGATGTTCGCCAAAACCGACCCCGATGGCAAAGCAATCATTACTGGTAATATGACCTGTCTCAGCTGTGAGTTGTGTTTTGGTGTATCATTGTATGGGACTGTACGTCGATCCCCTCTGCGTAGGTCATCACGTCCCAGTCCCTAATCACTTTCTTCAGGTTCACGAGGCACCTCCGAGGTGCACAGTAGATGCATTCGGCTCAGATCCAAGTGAATTTCTTTGTTGGATTCTGACCACGCGATGTGCTGCTGCAGGTCTGGTCATTCCAACCGTCCCATCCAATGCAGTGAACATTGCAGTCGGAATCGTGGGATGTGTGATCATGCCCCACAACATCTTTTTGCACTCTGCACTAGTGCAATCACGGTCGCTCGACATCACCAAGAAGAGTCGCTTGCGGGAAGCACTTCGGTACTACACGATCGAATCAAGTGTTGCCTTGTGTATCTCCTTCATGATCAACATGTTCATCATGGCTGTGTTCGCCAAGGGTTTCTACGGACAAATGGAGAGGCCCAACATTGGACTCATCAACGCCGGGGAGTACCTTGAGAAGGAATATGGGGGTGGGTACTTCCCCATTCTGTACATCTGGGCAATTGGGCTTTTGATGGCCGGCCAGAGTAGCACCATGACTGGAACGTACACAGGTCAATTTGTGATGTCAGGTTTCCTGGATCTGCCAGTCAAGAAGTGGGTACGTGTGATCGTCACACGTAGTGTAGCTATTGTGCCCACCATCATCATCGCACTGATCTTTGATGGTTCTGAGAACAACCTGGACCGCCTGAATGAATGGCTGAACGTGCTACAGTCGATCCAGCTGCCTTTCGCTCTCATTCCTCTGCTCTGCCTCGTATCCAACCAACGCGTGATGGGTGTCTTCACAATCAGCCGTTTAATGAAGGTACTTTCTTTTCCCCTAACTGATTCATAATGCATCCCAGCAGCGAGATTTCGCACCTTCTGAAGCTTAGCATCCAGTTGAACTTTGCATATAGTGATAACAGCGGTTCTAGTTGGGTAAGGGAGTGAGGAGATCTGACTACCAGATCCACTATTCTTTCACGATCACTATCGTTAAGCAGCTGTGGATGGTGAGAAGTTCTAGTTGTTCCCACGGGGAAGACGGAGAAGTTTGGAAGACGGGTGGTATGAATGGATTGCTCACAACTTTAATAGCTGGCAAAGACACATTCTGTGGGGCTGGATGAGGGTTCAGCCATGTCGTTGCCCTACCAAAGCACAGTTGTTTGGTTGCCTTGCGGCCTTTGCTCTCTAGCCGGTACAAGGCCCCCCAATTCCACAAAGAACGGTGACAAGCCGTCTGTGCTCTGATTAATAATGAGGGGATGATTTGCCGTACGTTAAAACCTGGTGATTGTGTTTTGCTGAGAGTTGTCGCTCCTGTACAGTTGGATTGTGAGGCTTTCATAGGCATACATTTTGCATTGTATACTAAAAGCTTGGAATTGTTCGTGAATGAAGGTTGTTGTCGGCTTGATCGCAATTCTGGTGATGGCTATCAACTTCTACCTGATGGTAGTGTTCGTCTGGGATAGCAACCTCCAGTCGGTTCTAGCCCTCATGGCGGTCGCACTCGGAGCTCTCGGCTACTTCGGCTTTATCGTCTACTTGTTGTTACAACCTTCAACGTCAGATGGCTTGTGGGCCACCTTGACCAAGAAGAATGATTACAGGTAAGTTCCTGTTGTCAGTAGCGTCGATTGAAATACTGGCTCCTTACTATTAACCAGGATGAGCTAATGACAACTGCACGGCTCGAAATCCAAGCCAAAAAAAGTTCTTCACAGGAGATATTGCTCACCTGGAACAACGGGTCTTGCAGTTGTTTGTGAACCACCCTCTAGCCGCTGGTTTTCTCTAGTCTGCATCCATCTCTATGTCCCTGAGTTATGGCTAGTCATCCTAAGACGGACTACAGTCGTGATCTTTTTAAGCTCTCACTTATATTTTCGTTATACATCCAGCCCTTGTAAGCCCTTAATACTTCCGCAGTCATTCTTCCTGTTCGCAACATAGCAGAAGAGCAGTACAAACTCAAATCTAGCCCACGGTTTTCTGTCATCTGATTTTGGTTTTCTTACCTTTTCCTCTAATAACTATTTTCGATCATAAGTGAAGGGTTATAGTTAGTGTGAGAACGTTGTCACAGTAACCGTGCTTGCATTCATTAAAACAGTGATGGAATTGAAGTCCAAGCATTGCACACTTGCGGGTGTACAATAAGTCCACACCTATTAGTAAAGGTGATGTCACCTGGGATGATTGGAGCCATGGACGTTCAGTACTTCTAGTGGCACCCTCGTTCTGATTTTTAACATCCATGAATTTTCGTCTGCAGGGCATTGTCTTCAGATGTTCCTCCTCTGTCATAGCACGATTATGGCGAACACGGTCTTCAACAAAATGTTGGGCTTTAAAAAGTCAGCATCTGTGCCATAATTCTTTCACAATTTCCAAACACATTAGATTAGTCCTAGAAGTGGATGTAGTGCCATGATGGATCTGAAGTGAAGTATGGTGTGCTAGAGTTCAAGAGCGAATCCCCAGAAGAATACCTTTCAAAGGGTCAACAGATGATGGGCTTTGGGTCTCAGCCTCAATTCTATCGCAGGTTGAGACCCATCCACTCGTACTTCACTGCCGGATGCCAATCAAATGTGTACATACCTCTGTATCACCCGGCAGGAATTCCGCGTCAAGTTACTGCAACGTAGATGTTAGTGAGAGTAGCTTTTGTAGGAAGATTGGGCTTTTGTCACAGGTCTCGGTTGGTAAGGTTACCGACAGATCAAAGCAAAAAGGTTTCCAGCAAATTTTGTCGGTGTGTTCTGGTCACAGTCCATCCCAGGCATTCCTAAAATTCCGATACAGAGCTGGGAGATGTCTGGATGAACTTAGCCAGCCGTGCAATATCTTCATGAGGTGATCTGATGAGAAGACGGGGTCCGCAAGCACAACCTTTCGAGCGGAGAACAGATGGTTAACGCATCGTTCCCGCATCCGCTGCGAACACGAACAAATCCGTCTCGATGTCACCGAGAACATGGTGCATACGTGCCACATTTCCTCCATCGATGGGGAGAAGACTAGGAAGGGAGCAGCGAAGTTACAATGGGGCTGTTGTGCGAGCATGTACGCATTGAAGCTCACTGCTTCGGCGTTATCAAGTCGACAAAATCTGTCAGTCGTCTTCTAAGCAGCGGCGAGTAGGAACATGTTCGGTGGCTGGTGTATTTTAGTCTCAGGTCGTGAAGTTCAGATCAGATCTCACCATGATGCCTTTCTTCCATCCGTCCGGAAAGTTGGGCAGGAAAGAGGATGATAAAAATTCCATGTGACAAGTTTTGGGTTGCCAGTGCGGTTTGTCTATTTGAAATCTGGCGAATGTAAGTCTGATCAGCTCAATTCCTACACAGCTTACGGGGAGCTTTAATGAAAACTTGTGAATCTCTGTTCTACAATGCGTCGACACATCGCGCCTCGGATTTTGCATGATTGTCTTGCCTCTTTCTTTTGACTGTGATGCTTCCAGAAGGTTTGTTGTTTCTGTACGAGCGAGGCACCATCGACAGGTTTTCAGAGGTTCCAAACACACACATTGCGATCATTGCTTCAGTTCTTTACTCGCGGGTTTGTGCACGTGGAAAGGAAGCAAATCACAGACCGATTCACGAAATCTTTGTTGCTAGCGGTACCTGTCGAGCAACTTTACCCGTTGGAGATTTTGTAGAGCATTGATGACGCACTTTGCATTGAGTTAGCATCTAATTTTCGAATACGATTTATGAAGTTTTGGGCTTGATAAATGATCACATTTATTATGACTCAATTTTACCAACAGCCTCTTTGTATGACATAATTTTAATTATAACCTCGAAGATGTGTAGAATGAAGCAACTTACTTAGCCATTTCTTCAACTTTTTGATCCAAAATTAAAAATAAAGTGGAAAACAACAAGATTGGCGTAAGCCAAAAACAGTTTGTCACGCGAAGAAAAATATTTTTCCAAAATTGATCTTCATATTTAAATAAACCTTGTAATTTTTATAAAGTGGGTTTTTTAGTTATAGGTCTCGCAAGAAAGAGATCGGGATAGAATCGGACATGAAAGTTTACCTGTCATCCGACTCAAATAGTTACAATATTTTCATTTCAAATTTTAATTATTAATATTTAAAATGAAATAAAATAAAATTCGCTACTCATGACTCAAGTTATTTCTTTATTATTGAGTTGTCTTATTTCTTCATGAATATTTTTTCTTTAGAAAGTAGAATAATCAAATGTAGATTACAAAGGATCAAAATTTTTTGACAAATTCTAAAAGACAAGCTATAAAGCCAATGGATAAACACGATTTATACAATTTTATGCTTAAGTATTGAAATCTATAAAAATTAAGAGGAATTCAATTCAAATGGTATAAGCTTTGATATATTTTAATAAATGAAAATATTTTTACCAGCATAATTTTGAAATTAAGTCAATGGTAATATAGGTTTGCATGATCGATAACATGCAATCTTTTGGATAAGCTTACTAATTAAAAGTGGTTGAAATAAATAAATAATGTATTTCTTTTAATTTATATTGATTTTGAATATATAGTGAATAATCATAGGTACATATAAGTCAGCTATCTTCGATTATAACTAGTACCACTAGATATTTTGTTAGGGTTGATTATGACATTAAGAGATTTAGAAACACTTTTGGAAGCGGGTTGAGATGACATCATTTACAAGTTTGCTTGAACACTTATTTAAAAAGAATATTTGGATGAAATTACAAGATCTAGAACTACATATTTGCTCAAACATTTTTGCATGATGTTAATTAAAAGTAATCGCTTATGCAGTTAGTACATGTAGTGAGTATATAAAGTGTTAATTGAAAAGGTATTCATATAGGTTTTGTGTTTTTAAACTAGTTTCAATGTTTTTGTTATCAATTTCTAATTGTTTGTCATATCATTCAAGTTTTATAATTTCATGTTTCTTCAAAGAGTGAATTCAAAAGTCACATTGTTTGATCCATTCAAGTGTCGTTGAATTCTGTTCAACAGCTTTAGATACTATTCATGTAGAAGATCAAGATCTTTAACTCTATGCTTGCGAATGTATAAGACTTTCAATTCGCAAGCATCTTGAGACTTTCTCATCAAGCTTTCAAAAATATTATAAAATTTTACGAGGTTTTCATTTGATGGAACCCATTGGGAGCCTAAATTGCTTGATAGTAATCATCAAGTTTTGTTTTACACATGGTACCCACCGACGGCTCACCGTCGTGAACTTCTAAAACATGTTCATGTCCACATATGATGAGAGCTTTAGTGTAACTTTATGATTGTACATCGTTACTATTGTAGATTTGACAGATTTTTGTTAATTTTTTTGACATAAATTTGTTGTTGGATGCAGATTTTGAACTATCAACTTAGTCAGTGTCCCTAGTGATTGCTCATTGCCTTTTGAATTTCCTGTTTGATCGATTGTACGATTTGATCAATCAAGTGAATTTGTGTCAAAATCTGTCGTCCAAGTTCTTGTTTGGTTTGTACTCTATTTGCTGTCCATTGGAGATTAGATCGGTTTTCAAACAAAATCAATCTTGTAGAGGAATGACAAAAGAATTTTAAGATGTTGGTGGTAGATCCAACACTGTCAACGATATATCTGTTCTGTTATGCAATCGTGACCGACCAATTTCAATGCTCAATTACCCCCAAACCATAAAAGAATATAAGGCAAACACTGCTTTGTTCGAAACGTAATTCAAACTCTTTCATGCCAGATTAAGCAAACTTTCTCTAGTAAATCAATACTAGTTCGACAGCCTTCACCGTTTGTTGATACTACAACATGCGTGATGCGTACTGTCCATGGTATATCATTGGGTAAAATAAAACACAAAGTATTCCATTAAGCAATTTACGTTTGGATCAGGTACCATCAAGTAAATAACTCAAAGTTTTACATTTGAAGCAATTTTGACCAAAAGTGAATCACAATCTTAGATTGAAGTATATATATATATATATATATATATATATTTCATATTATTTTATTAAAAAAGCTATGATTGTTAATTAAAAATATGATGAATAACATATAACCCCTACCATCTATAATTATTACAGTGAAATAGTATATCATCTCCATGTGTTAAATATACATTCAATCATTTATTGTAATCCAACCAAAATATAAGGCATTTTATCATGCTACTCATGAGCTTAATCTTATGAGTTATATATAATATCAATGAAAAGAATACTATACTTTGTTAGGTATAATAATCTTCAATAAAATTTTAATTGAGATTCAATTTATGTTGATTTCTCTAGATGTCATCAAAAAATTTAATTGAGACTCAATTTATGTTGATATATCTATATGTCATCAAATAATTGGGATAAATATCAAAAAATTGATACATGTAAACATAGTATATGAAAAATTATACGTTTGGAGATTTTTGTATCAGATTGATATACAATATCTTATATGAATATGTTTTGGAGTTGAACATGTACAATAATTTTTGCAGTTTTCAATTACACGATATATAAAATTGTCATAAAAATTTTATTTTTTTGGCTAAATAATATTGTAATTAAGATTATATTTATAAAAAGTATGAATTCTTATGATTCAAAATATGTACATATATATTGCGCTCTTTGTAACATCTTTTATGAACTATCCAATATGTATATGATTGATTTAAAATATAAAAAAAATATAAAAAATATCTTTCAATAGTTTTAAAGTTTAAAGATTAGTTTTTCACTTAAAAAAATATATCATTTAAAAAACCTGATTCAATATCTTTTTAACAAATTAACAAAAGTGAAATTTAAGAATTCATCTCTGTAAAAGTGAAAAAATTACTTGATGGGAACTCCAAGTAAACTCAACAAACTTGATGGAATCCAACGAGTTTCATTTTACCCTCTCAACAGCCCATTGTCAGCCATGTTTCAATACTACAAGTCGACATCATCGTGGATCCGTCTTTGGACGTTGAGTACGAGCGAGAAGGAGTGCTCTTGGTGATGAGATTGGCGCTGTCGTGCATTCTGCCCAACGGCTCAGAGACTCTAGACATGGAGGAGGTTATGAATGTTCTCACGTTGAGCATTGGGAACACGCTGCGCACCCAACTGTCCCATACTCTGGGCAGCTGAAGCATGGATGTCATCAAGAGTCTTTCACATCTACTTTTGACTCTAATCCATCGTCTGAGTTTTACACTCACACATCTTGGAACACGGATTTCAGATAGATCCATCTCGAGAGGCAACGGATTTAAATCGATCTGTTGAAGCTGAGATTTCATATATGATTCAATTCAATTCAGCTTCTTCAAATCTTAGCTCCCATTTTCAAGCACAAAGTTTCCTTCGACTTTACACCTAGTGATGCTTCCTTTGGTATATTTCGGATAGGAAACTTTCGCTGTTTTTTCAGATGCAGATATGGCAAGACTCTATCAGGAGTACTTCAGCACCATGGTTACAGTAATTTGGCGTCTTTCTAAGACGCCAAATTACTGTCGATGGAGAGAGTATTCTGGCAAACATTATCCACACTACAACATAAATTATTCAGTTATAAAAACTTTGATTAGAACATGTATGACGGTCATCTGCATCGCCGTTGAGTGGTATCTCATCGGGTAAAATGAAAACTGTGGGGTTCCATCAAGTAATTAGAGTTTCATTGGTCCCATCAAGCAATTAACTCCTATTAAAGAATGTGAAGTTTTATTTCTATTCAGTCAAAAATTTTCTTATGATGGAAGATTAAACAATTTTAAATTTGTTGTAACCAAGAAATATATTTAGTAATTTCATTCATATAATTTCTGTTATTTGAATTACATCTTTCTTTTCTAATATTCAACTGCTAATTTCTTTTTCTTAAATTTTTTTGTGCTACTGCTTTTCTTAGGTTGGGTTCATCACCTTGTCTTCCAAAATTTATATCTTGTAGTAATTCCAAACATTCATTAGTATCATAAGATGAAAAAGATATATATTTCTTTGATATGAAATGGAATCACGTTTTAATAAAATCTTAATATCTTTAAAGATTTTAGAAACTGATTCTATAAAAATGTTCCATGAACAACTTCATATTAATTTTTTTACTAAGACTTCTGTTTTCATGATGGAATAAAGATTTCCTGCTAAATGTACATACTACTTTCCACAAATATTTTCTTCAAGAAGTTGGTGTCCGAGAATGAAATTTATGAGGTTATCTGCAATTCACAAAGTTCATATCACATTCACGACATACATTAAGAAAGGGGATGATGATTCACGGACACGTGAGAATAGCTCAAACGGACTAAAACTGAAGGAAACCTGTCCTCTTGTTCCCTCACACATCCCAAGGTCCCAAGGCCAATCAAGCATTTACTACTTAAGTAGTAATATGGTTCCAAACTGTCAAACAAAGCATTTCTTATGGTCTTTGTTGTAGTTTCATAATATTTTAATTTTTGATATCCATCTGTCCCATTCTCGATTCCTTCATGTACTAAAACAAACCTGCACTCCACAAGAATGATCTCCTCGACCAGCTCCGAAGATGAACGCCATTCGAAGAAGCTCATTGGCACCTTTCTGATCACCTCTAATGAGTTGAAGAGAACAATCCGCCGAAGCTCGTCGAGCCTCCACGTACTGTACTGTGAGACTCACAATGTGATGCTTGAGGTGAAACATGAGATACAGACTTCGACGTCCTGGAAATCCCACGGGAGCGAAGAAGAAGCTCACTTCACTTGACGAGGAAATGTCATCCTCACCGAAAGATCGGTCAGTGAAATGTCAGACTGGGAGACCAGCAACAGTTCAGTTGTTTGACTCGACTCAATCGATGACCGATTTGTGAGCGCTGCTGAGTTTTCGTGCAGCAGGAGGAGGAGAATCTCTGCTGGACCCCAAGATCACCTTCGGTCAAAGTAAGTGGGTGCATTTCGTGAATGCACTCAGTGCTGTCCACCGAGACACTGCACCATAAAGAGTTGGCTGCGTAATTCCCATAACGCTTTAGTGCCGCCTCTTCCACGAATTCCACATGAACTATAAAAGAATTTTGCTTCTTCTCGATTCCATTCCTGGCTTTGGCTGAGTGCTGACCCGTGATCTTCAAATTCATTATGAGGACGACATCCAACAATCGACCGTTATCTGCCATTGACGGCCGAGCCCTCCTTCTAGAATTCTGATGGAGGCTCGTCAGCACGGACCGCATGCTCATTCTTATAACAAGCGAATGCACTGTAAAAAACAAACACCATCCGTCGTCTTAATTTCACTCGAGCCCTGAAACCACTCGCAGATCATGTCTTGCCCAAAGATATTGAACTTATGCTGCATTGCAGGTTGGGACGCTGTGCCAAACACTGCAGAAGAGCTCGTTTCAGTCTAGGCCCAGTGTCAGATTGAACATGTCGGACCCAATATTTCCCGTTAGCGGTATTTCTCTTTCCACTGACGGTCTGTACAATGAACATGACTGCCGGCTGCAGTCCACCTTCATAAAACGGTGAAAGCCGAAGAAGAGGCTCGGATCCAACGAATCAAGTTGGGAAGACATTCAAAGCATCTGTTTGTTTGCTTGCTTGCCAAAGAACGAACTAACGGACAGCCAGTGAATAGCACATCAATGAATTTCACATGCACTGGTTACGCGCGTTGAAATAAAAATCAAAAAATGGTTTCTATAGCTAGAATTCTTCCTCAGAAAACTTGCTCAATGCTTTTTTAAGGAGTTTATGGTGAAGATACGAATAATTGTCGTGAGCTGTGAATTTCAATGTTTTATGGGTGTTGTCCGTCCAGTCCACATCGCTGCGACCGTGAATACAGGAACATAGGTATTGAGATAGTCAGATGAGATTAAGTGTGACATCGAGATGTTGAAAAACTCTTAGATATGGTAAAAAACATTTTGAAATAGAGGACAATGTTGCATGGAACTATGAGAAATCAGGAGCAGTTTGTGAATGACAGCAGTGCATATGCATTATAGTCACGAGCCTTGGTGCATTTTCACCGTGTTAACTTCCGTACGTGTACGAAAGCTTTATACATGACACAAAATACCTCCGATTCCATATTCATACAAGAAAGCTGAACTTTGTTTCCGACTTGCCGGTGATGCAAGTAAATTGCCTCCGTATTAGACGTCCAAAGCGGAAAGTAAGTCCTGTAGAACGTACTAGATTCCAGCCTGATCATAGCTGATGGCGATATTCACAAGGTTTATCATGCAACATGGTCTTGGAGCTTCAACAAAACGATGTGATTGCTGTTTTCTGTAGTGTGAGAATTGGTGCTTTACGTGCTAGTAGGTAGATCATAAATTGCTCCATTTCGAACTCGGGGTAGAGCGTGAGGAAGGAGGTGGTGGTTGCGCAAACTACGACACGCTATCAAAAAAGCCTATGGACCCTTCGACCCTGCTTTCAAAAGCTTTTGAAAGCTTGATGTTCAGGGTCGTGGAATGAATCTTTACCTTGAGTTGAAAGAGTTGAATACCTTTGGACTCCCTGACCGGCGAGGCTTCTAATATGCAATTGCATTGATTCACAGACAGCAACCGGAAGGTACAGTCTGGTGTTTGGTGCGTCTGCTTCGAACCCGGAAGACATCTTTGAATGTCTTCAGTCTTCAAGATCGGTGACGAGTTGCAGTACTGGCTGTGATGGGAACTTCGTCCAAACGGAAGTCTCTTTTCATGGACCATTTCAGACTTGAGGTCGACCGCAAGCATTCACTTCTCTGCAAAGAATTCAAACGACATCTAAAACTCAGTCAACTGCGGTGCTACAGCGTCTCAAAATCAACATCAAACCATTAAATGTCCAGTGCTACCCTCGAGGAATGTTTCAGAAGTTTGAACAGTGCTTTTGATTTGGAACTTAAGAAATGCTACTATGTAGGTATTGCGTGAGATTGTACTTACTAGCACACGGGTTGAACGAAATTCCTGGCCTAACATCCTGGGAGAAAGCCGGACGATCCTCTAAAGGAAAGACAATAAAGAAGTGGATTGAAGTACAGAAGGCGAGATTCAGTGAAGAGGATCATTAACTTTAGAGGAAATTCTTAATCAGCGTATTTACAGTTGGACAGCCAAGTAGTGTACCGTAAGAGGTGACCACAAGAGTACCTGAAAAAGGAGCAAACACCGCAATGCATAGCATGTACTGGAAGAAGGATTCTGTTGATTAAATTGCAGCTCCAATTTGTATATATTTGCTGCTCGAAACTTGTGAGGCTCTAGGCTTTGTCTTAGGAAAAACGACAGCTGCTTTTCATATAAAACATTTGCCTGTGCCTTCTTTGCTGTTCATCGATACTGTCGGTGTATATCAAGATTCCTGAAATCCAAAACTGCATGAAATACAGGATACATTTGCATTGTCATGATTAAGTGAAAACTGTGGGGGACTGTCGCATTCGGCAAAAGCTATTTTCGTGGAAGTTGTGAAGTCCAAACACTCTTTCCAGAGGACCTGCTGGCCTCGCGTCCAGCTCGGATCTGGTGGAGTGTTGGGTGATCCATCTTTGTATTCTGCAAGTTAGTGGACCATGTGCACCCTGAGCTTCGACTTCAGACTGCGAAAATTGTTCATGTTGTGAATTGAGGTGCCTGAAGCACTGAAACACAACTTCATGAAACTTAGAACAGGAGGAAGTCGGTATTTCACCCGAAAATTCCATTGATGACCAACTGAAATTGAAATTCGTAACCTTGAGATTGTGCTGTCAAAATCTACTCTTGTAGGGAGGGATCTGTTCACAAGCTCTTCAAGAACACGGCAAGAGGATGATGCCCACGGCCTTTCTCTTAGATTCGTTACTGAAGCCAGGCTGAGAGTTCAGAGTGTTTTATGTGCTATTTAGCAACCTTTAATCTTTATTGCCGAAATTATTAAATCAAGACAACTGCAAAATTGAGTTCTGGGAATTCTGGAAACCGGACGATCAGAAGTAGATTCTACTGTAAGTTATTGTTTTGTCCGAAACCGTCCAAATATGCAGTGCGTTCCAAAAGAAAAATCAGTGAAAATACTTCCAAATTACACTAAGTCACTGCGAACTTGGGCAAAGGAAATTGAACCGGAAGGACAAACTAAACATGCACGAGATAAAATCTGCACGCGCTCTCTTCCATTCAATTTCTTCGGAAGCAAGATATCAGATGTTATTTGACATGCGAGGTGTTACACTAGGTCTATGAGAAAACTGACTGATCCAATTTTCCTTTCCAACCTACATATTGCAACAAACTAGATTGTGTTGCGGATTGCCACATACATGCAGACCTGCAAGACAAATCTTTACGATCACTGCGGCCTTCCGCTAAATTCTCGAGAACCACGTCCAGGCGCTCTAAAGCGTAGGTCCTCATGGTGCATGATGATACTACGAATATTCACCGTGTTCGCTTAAATTAGCAGACTACTGATTAGCAGTGATCGACTCACTCTGCACTGTGCGAGCTTTTACCGTCCTTGGGATCATATCGGCTTTCAAATCCAACTAAAAAGCATTGGACGTAGATCCAGACCGTGCAGAGTCTGGATGTCAGTCATCTCATCGTTTCCCTGCATATCCAAGGCTTGAACAGGATGCCATAAAAACACATAAGCCCTAATGGCAAACATTAAAATATCTTATTTATAATCGGCTCACGATTTCTGTCCGAGTTTTAAGGTTTAAGGCTACCGCGTATATCTGAAATGAGGACGATGGTCCAAATTGCAATTAGAGTAGTTCATGTGTGGAGGAGGTGGTCAAGTGTCATATCAGCAGCGTTAAGATCGGTTCTAGATATGCTTAATAAGTAGCTCCCCTCTGAGGCCGAGGCTAAGACCCCTGAAAGATCTTCAGTCAGAAATCACGATTTGGCCTCTTGACAGGAATTAGGTCTGAGAGTTTTATCTGCATGTACGGAGCTCATCGGACAGGGACGGCAAGATGTTTCTGCAATCGATTGCTGCCACCACTCTCGTCTTTGTCAACACAGAGTGCTGATTTGTGTGCTTGCCGTCCATCATTAAATTAGCGATCAAAGTGCACGCGTTTGCTGCATGATCCTAGTGGTCGGTGTCAGTAGGGAGAACATTCTACATGCCTTCATTGGACGATGTTGTGCTGAGAATGGTCATTGCTTGGTATAATACTCAAGCGTTTGCAAGTATTCGAGCTCTGTCACATCCACAAATTTGTGTTTGGGAACCAGACAGACGATAGCGAGACCGCGTTACTCGATGAGAAGAATGACGAGAAAGATGCAATTCAGAGAAAGCTAGCACCAAGGCCATCATTTACAGCTAGTAACACCATGATAGGAATGAGGGATCCGATGGTGGCTAAGTATACTGGCAGTTCTTCTAGTGTCTTCATGAAGGAGAAATATCTAAGAAAAGACGAACGCTGGAGAGGGGAATGATCATAGCACCCAAAGACGAGTGTGATTTCGAATTTGCTGATCATTGCATTCATTCGTCTTATCTACAGTAATAACATCTTCCCTGAATCCACGACATGGGGACCGAACGCATGCTTTAAGGATGATGTGGCCCACATCATCCTAAAAGCATGCGTTCTGCATGGTATCTGTTGTCATGTCGTTTTACAGTCATCACTCGAGGAGACACAACGACGAAAAGCGTCATATCTGCATGTATCCATGTACATGCACAATGCCATTCACGTCAGTGTACATATATATACAAGTATATCCAGGAAGGACATGATTGTCTCAAGCAGCATATAACACACAGATCCTACTTCCTAATTCTTGATTAGAATAAAGTGGACTTGGAGGCAGTCAAAGTACGATCTTCACTGTATTATATAGGAATGTTATCATAGGAATTATAGTATTCGCTGTACTTTAGGAATGTTTAACATATAGCCCAAAGAAAGTCAAAAGCTTAGACTGCTAGGAACAAAGGAAAGTATCGTCAATCTCGTTAGTAGTAAAAGCGAAGAATTGTTCGTTATTTGTAATTGTAAAGCTGGTTGCAGCTTGAAATTCCCGCTGCAATCTGATTTAGCATGATTAGATTACTGTAAGCATATCCGCGGCCGGTTTTCTTCGATCAATTCGATTTACCCACACGTGTCAAACATTAAGCATGGAGATCTAGACCCATAGAGGTCTAACTAGTTTCATACTCGACCAGAATCTTGCGAAATTCGACTTGGTGTGATTTTCTAGAAGGTACATCTGAAGTAAGTAACTAAATATGTATGTAGCAGAGATTTATCTTCACAGGCTGACAGAACATGAATAATTTCGATGAACAGTACGTACGCGGGAGTGTGAAGATGACAACGCTGGGCACAAAACTTGTCAAACCCATAAATTCTTGATTCAGTTGATTTCTTCCTTCTGAGTTTTCATTGAGTTGAAGCTCACAAGCCATGAGGTGGAAGTAACTTCACTGTGGGTTAACAGATTCTTTGACTGCGTAAGGTGGCTATGCACCTTTTATCGTGTACGAAGCCAGTCTGAACTGATTTCTGAAGTGATCTTAAATAACATGATTAACAAGAACGCTCTCTAAACTTTTCCTCTGTTTTTGGTTTGCCTTTTTGCAATTTCTTTGGCTTGATTGACGTTCCCATTGCTCTTTATAAGGCATGTCTGCTTACCTTCCAACCGACATTTCAAATGATGCCAGAAATGATGCTCTTAAAGTCACCGAGTTCAAACGCCTTTTGCCAGATACCTCCACGTAGATTCTGGATGTACACAAAACCATGCAAGAGTGAATGTTAGTCCCACCTTCACACCGTGCTTGGTCCAAAAGCCTCACTCGTAGAGCTTTAACGGCAAACGTTAAATCTGAATATTTTCCAGCTAACATTACGAAGATGGTCAGAAGAAGTATATTTGTTAGACGGCAGATAGGCCCAATCGCTGATGGAAAACTCTGACGGTAACTTGGTTCAACGTTGTCATAAGTCTGGATACTGGAGAGGCAACTAGTCCAAACAGTATAAACTATCACAGGGCCTAAGAGACCTATGAGATTCACAGCTCGAATTACGATCAATCTTTACGTTTAAAGCCTTGAAAGTAGAAATCAGCGTGTGTTTGTGTGTCTGTGTATATTAAGGGTGCGAGCCATAATCATCTCGACTGTAGCATGACGCTTGCTACGTTGGGGCTTTAGGGTCCTCCTTTAGGGTCCTGAGAAATTCCTCTCTCTATCTCTTACTGCTGTACAAACACCGTACCATGTCCCAAACTTCACGAACGAGCAGTGAGTGAGATCTGGTTTCTTTGATGTCAGACATGTGAACATGCTGATGATCCAAGTTAAATTTGGCACATTTTTTGGACTGTCTACTCAAGCCTACAACAAAGGTTGCGCCATATATATGATTCAAGGTACTTTCACCCTTCGAAGCACAATCTTTCTCAAGCAGATAAGTCAGAGTCGACGCCGTAGAGAATCTGAGACTGGCTGCTTCTTTCCACGTAAGTCATGGGGAGGAGGAAATTAAGAATAAATCAAAATATTATGAGAGGTGCGGTGACATGGAGTTCAACAACTAACTCAGAGATAATGGCACCACTTCCAGTTTCCGATAGCACTTCCATTCACTGTCATCTTTCGTCACCAACATGGGCGAGCCCATGAAACACATATTTGTGCCCTTGCCACTGAAGTCTCGGGTTGTAATACTCTCTCCCACCGGCCAAGATAATAATCATAAATTTGGAGGCCATATTCATTCAGACATTTACAATTACTGTACCAGAAAAGATGCGATCGGTAACTCTAAATTAGAAATTGGTGATGTTTCTTGGACGAAGTTATTACAACTAAACGACCACTCATATCACGCACCTCGATCAAAACTCACGAAAAACTCACGAGAAACTCACGATCACGCTACTGCAAACGTCTGCCGCTAAGTTTCTCGGACCCGGCCCCGTTCGACGCTATTTCTCAATCGGGATGTTCCCCATCCTTGGAGCCGATGTGAAGAATTGAAGGTATCCGATCCGGCTGCCGCCACTGCAAATCGGCACCACGAGCCCCACCTCCATCCTCGAGGCCGAGCAGACGTGCGCGCGTCCGTGCCGCCCTTCCGACCGCCCTTCCGAGGGGCCCGAATGGCGCGGGGCGTTAAGAGTGTCGGGGAGGGGCCGGAGCGCCCGGTGGCCGGGCGAGGCGGAATCCGCGGGACGTTATGCAACCAAGTACGGCCGGGGGTACTACGGACCGAGGGTCGAGAAACAGCGGTAGCATAGATCCGCCGGAAGGTGGGGGGCTCCAAGACCTCGTCCTCGTCGCCGACCGAGTGACTAGAGAGAGAGAGAGAGAGGGAGAGAGAGAATTCAGCGACCCTTCGCCTCGTCGCGGATTGGCGTGATCAAGTGGTGAAAACTGCTCGTCCCGACCAGCGAGCGGGATCGGGATCGGGATCGGGAGCAGGAACAGGAACAGGGGGTGGGGTTGGGGTGGAGTGGGGTGGGGTGGGGGGCAGTGCGCGGAGAGCGAGATTCGACTGACGCGAGACCGGCGTGCTGCGGATCGTTTTTACGGATCGCGATTGGGGAGAGAATCACTAGCAGACGAGATCAGCAGCGCGAGAGAGAGATCGCACATTAGGATGATGATCCCGATCAATCCAGGTGTTCATGTGTACCTCGACTCGCGGTTTCCTTCCAGAAACCGATCCGAGGCCAACTCCAGGCCCATGCTGCGAATCTCTTGATTCTCTCGAACAGTTTCTGCTTCGGGACTTTCAGTTTTCGAGTTTCGAAGGTCTGAGATCCGGAGACGATTACTCCCACCAAAAATTGCTTTCCCGGAATTCAGATCTTCATCATAGCTTACGATGACTGCCTCGGCTCGCAATTGGCGACGAAATTGGCTTGCGTCGGAGACCATTAACGTACAAGAATGTCGTAGATCACCGCAACGAATGATGTTGTGTGTCTTTTGGAAGTGGCCCGTGGACATGTCTCCACGTTGGGCTTCGAAAGCGTGAGACAGTTCCAAGGGGGAACCGCAGTGCCCGTTCCGCCCGGACAGATCTGGTGACCATTGAGGGCACAATCATTTCGGCGAACCCTTGGACGATCACCGAGTTTCACACAATGAATCTTTCCACTCACGTGCATGAAGTGCATGAAGGGCTCGATGGCTTTTCCTGAACCTTCGAGAAGTGCACGCTCGGATTTTTCGTCGAAGAATTCTTGCTCTTCAGGTCACCACGATATAAACCCCGACAGTGTCACAGTTTTTCACCACAATCTGATATGGAATCCACGAAGGACGTCGAGAGTATTGCTGGACTCGAAGTGCCGCAGTCTGAAGGTAACTCCAGCCACTCCATGACGGCTGAAGCGAATTCTCCAGCACCACAACAACCCACGGCAGATCTCCAAGGCGGCGACCATGCAACCCCAGCCCCAGCCCCAGCACCAGCAACAGACCTGGTGAACGAGGGCAATCCCCAATCTGGAATCACGTTAGGAGAGAGATGGAAGAGGATAAGGGCGAAGCTCTTCCGCAGACGAGCAGCAACACATTTGAAACCTGCTGTCGTAAACCCTCAAGTGCCATTCTACAAACTCTTCATGTTCGCCGACTGGTGGGATTACCTGTTGATTGTTCTGGGCACGATCGGAGCGTGTGTGCATGGAGTTTCAGTGCCCATATTTTTCCTCTTTTTTGGAGCCCTGATCGACGCCTTTGGAGCAAATTACGCCAATCCACAAAAAATGGGGCAGGAAGTCAGCAAGGTGACTCACATGTACATGTCCCCCACCCATCGTTGCATGCGTTAAGCTTTGAGAAAGGTCACGCCATTTAGAGACTGGGATCCCAGAACCTAATAGTCGTCTCTGAGTCATCAGCAGACGAGTGGTTTTCAGATGAAAGTGGAAGCTTACAATTCTTAGAAGGATCAGAATCCTCCATGAAACTCTGGAAGAAGCAGTCAGGTCTCGAGTTCGTGTGAATTTTCATACACCATAGCTGGAGAGGTAAATCAGACTTGAAAAACTATCGAAGAGAACATTGAAGGCCCTTACATGGGATGGGATGTTGCATATGCCAAGGACTGACGCTAACACACATCTTGCCTGTTTTGCTCGTGTGACAGTACGCCTTGTATTTGTTTTACCTCGGCTGCGTAGTTTTGGGCGCTTCCTGGCTGGGTACGTAATTGTGAACTGATTTGGACAATATGCATGCTAGAGAGCTTTTAGACATGTGCAATTTCCATCTGCTTGCAGAGTTTCACTTGTCTCCTCCAACGATGGCGTAATCAAGGTCAGTTCAAATCGTACATCGTCCGTGCTTGATCAGATCACTACTGATCAGATGAATGCTGGCCAGCCAGAACTAACATGTTTGAAAGCATGGAAGTACTAGCGGTCTTGACGCATTTTGGAAGAAGTAGCAACCGAGTGGGTGGGTATAGATCACTTGGATGTCCAGAATTCCCCTGGATCCAGGAAGAGTATCAGCTGATTCTGCAATGGTGTGCGTGAATTGGATACTGTACAGAGATTTCAAGCTGGATACAAGCTGGCGAGAGACAAAGCTCACGCATGAGAACGAAATTTCTGAAAGCAGTTCTGAGTCAAGAGATCGCTTTTTTTGATCCCGATGGAACAACGAGCGCCATAGTCAATCGCATCTCCACAGACACTGCCTTTGTGCAAGACGCGATCAGCGAAAAGGTTATTTTAGTGCGTCGTCTTCTGACTTTTTTATTGAATCGAACTGTAGAATTGAATTTTACAATGTCTGGAGGAATTGAACACACTCATTATCAATGATAAGCATCATAGTCTTCTTTCCAGTAACGGAGCGCTTTATTACCTACAAAATTGGGTCCGATCATGAGATGCCCGGCTCGTCAAGTGTTAATCTGTGGGACCCATGGCTGCCTGCATTGAGTTCCGGCATGCAAACATATGCTGCACGGAGACAGCAGTGAAATTCAATCCATAAGTCATCGATCGCATGGCAGATAACATGTTACCCAGATAGCAGACAAGAATGTATATACTGACATCGGAAGCAGGGATAACTATGGGCCCACACAGGACACACTCTCCAACAGGCCTCCCTACACCTAAGAATCCAGGCAGCTCCAAATCCCCTGAGCAACAGAGCATGCTGCCAATGCTAACGATAGTGCAATTGGGCGTGCAGGCGGGAAACTACATCCATTTCATGGCGAAATTCATCGCTGGTTTCGTGGTGGCTTTCTGCTCGGTCTGGCAGCTCTCTCTCACAACTCTGGCCGTCGTTCCAGCCATAGTGCTAGCAGGTGCAGCCTACGCTCTGACTATGATTGGTCACGAAACGAAAAGTCTAGCAGCGTATGAAGAAGCTGGCAAGGTGGCTCAACAGGTATATCTCAGATTCGTCCATGCAGAGCCTGTATCCGCACGACACGTCTTGCCATGTATAGTTTCCAGACAGAGCACTTCCAAACAGAAAAATGCCAGACTGTTCTCAGCTCACCACAACTCATCTCTCCTACAAGTTTCAGGCCTTCACTTCGACCTTGAGGAAGCAATTCTGGCAGTAGGAAAGTACTGCATGAATGGAAATTCGTCTTTGTTATCTGACATGAGGTCTGTTTGCCACATGCTGGTGTGACAAGGTGGTAGCTCAAGTGCGTACGGTGTATTCTTTTGGGGGAGAAGCCAAGGCTGTACAAGAATATGCCAAAGCGCTACAAACTACGTTGAGGCTGGGCAAGCAAGGGGGTTTTGCCAAAGGACTGGGGCTGGGAGTGACTTACGGACTGACCGTGGGCGCATGGGCTCTCCTCCTCTGGTATTCCGGAATTCTCGTTCGAGCGGGAACTACAAATGGAGGCAAAGCGTTTACCACCATCCTCAACGTGATTGTTGGCGGGATGTAAGGTTTTCCTTAACAACCCCAAGCTGATGAAGCTGATGCTTTGATGTAAAATCTTTAGTTCGCCTGAAGAAACTCTTACAGTCAAACACAGAATCTGCTCAGACTTTTTCCCAGAAATGTCATTTTTCTTTCCCGATAATTGTTTGTGGGACATCTGCGTGAATTGAAGTTCGCCACTCCATCATGGTCCATGCAGTGCTCTCGGACAAGCTGCTCCAAATCTGGCGTCCTTCTCGCGTGGAAAGTCAGCCGCTCACAATATTCTGGAGATGATTAACCGAAAGCCTGCAATCGATCAGACGACGGGGAGAAAGCTGACCAGCGTAAATGGCCAGATTGAATTCCAGGAAGTTTGTTTCAGTTATCCATCGCGAGCCGAAGTGGTTGTACTTCAGGACTTTAATCTCATAATTCCGCCAGGTAGAACTGTGGCGCTTGTCGGAAGCAGCGGTTCTGGTAAAAGCACCATCGTTGGCCTGATCGAGCGGTTTTACGAGCCCACTTCAGGTACGGCAGGAAACAATTTCTTCCACATCGACCAACAATCTGAAGAATCTTAAGGTTTCCAGGGGAGCATGGTTCCGAATTCCTCCATATTGTGCATGTACTTGGTCCTGGACAGGGTCCTCATCCCCAATTTGAGATGTGAGTTGAATGTACATTGCGTTGGAGACAATTCTGAACCAAAACCTTTTCGAAAATCTCATAATCAATGTCGAACTCTGTAGGAAAAGTTCTGTTGGACGGGCGGAATATCCAGCGTCTGCACCTGAAGTGGTTAAGACAGCAGATGGGCCTCGTGAACCAGGAACCTGCTCTATTTGCCACCAGCATTTGGGAGAATCTTCTATATGGCAAGGGGACTGCCAGCAAGGAAGAAGTTCTGGCTGCTACAACAGCTGCAAATGCACACAGCTTCATCAGCCAGTTGCCATCGGGCTATGATACGCAGGTTACTAAGCCGTCAAACCCTCAATTCGAAACTCACTTCTTCCAAGAATTCCTCCTCGTCTTTGCAATTGAGTTCGCTAATTTCTCTGAGCAGCTTTTAGGACTGATGTACTGGGTGCTACTGCAATTCCCCGAACCTTGCCTTCTTCCTTCTGCTTAGGTCTGTACCGCATAACCCCTGCTTACTGCTACAGGTTCGGGCATTCACTCCAGGCCTGAAACCTTGAAACGCTCTGAAGCGCCCTTCTTTTGCCATTTGTGTAGATATATTATCGTCAACCAGGACCTGTCTGAGCTTTCGACCAACGCTTATATAGTGGAAGTAAGTGACTTTCAAGATAATAGAGTCGACGGTGGATTGAGGACCTAAGTGGACAACTTAAAAAATCTAAGAGATCAGACATGAACACAAAGTTATAATTAAATGAGTCAGACAACAACACGATTGCCAGCGAATTCCCGGCCTGTTAGTATTGATATTGAGGAGCAAACACAGTCGTTATATTCAGCAGTCTTACCTGGGTCTCGATAAGATGCAAAGTTTGTTGTTGCTTTTCGCAGCGAACATATAAATTTCTCAGTGAACAAGGCTCTCCTCTGTCACTTCAATCTGTGAATCTGGAATACACACGAAAATTCCAATGCACTTATTGTAATATAGTGTTGTTTCTAGATTTGGACGATTTCTGTAAGTTCTAAATGTCCAAATAAGTAAAGATTTAGCAGCATTGTACCGTGACACCTCCATGTTGAGGTGTGTGTGTCTCTCTCTATCTCTCTCTGTCTGTAAGCAGATAACTCTTGATAGCAACAGAAACCTTCTGGCTTCCAAATTTCGAGTTGTTACAGGCACATGAATTATATGCCCATGATCTAAGCCTCGGAAGAATGATGTGTATCTATGCAGGTGGGGGAGAGAGGTGTGCAACTCTCCGGAGGCCAAAGGCAGAGGATAGCAATCGCTCGAGCCATGTTAAAGGACCCGAAGATCTTACTCTTAGACGAGGCTACTAGTGCTTTAGACCCTGGTTCCCAGCAAATTGTGCAAGAAGCTATAGATCGGTTGATGGTTGGCCGGACAACTGTGGTGGTAACCCATCAACTAGCAGCAGTCCGGAAAGCGGATATCATCGGGGTCATGCACAACGGGACCTTGATTGAGATCGGCACTCACGAAGAGTTGTTAGAATTGGGCGAAAGAGGTACCTACGCAGGGTTGGTGAGGTTACAAGAGGCAGGCTACTACGCACAAGGAGGGAGTCTAGTTCCAGGATTCAAACAGCACTTGAAAGTTGGGTAAGTTCTTCACTCTGTGCTCCGTGAATTAGTTCAGTGCTCGTTTGGATGAGATTACATCCCAGCATGTCAGTCTACTACCAGTGGTCGCATTGACTTGGACTCCATGATTTAGCTCGTACACAGAGTCAGAGTGTCATCATCTGCAAAGCACAATGAAACGAGAAATTAAGCTACGAAGTCATTCGACCCTCTGACGCTGCATTTTTTGCAGGGAGGAGATTTTGTCTGCTCCTGCGAAGGAGTCCAAGAGAGGTCCTATCAAAGGACTTGCGGAAGGAGTATCAGAGCTCCGAGAGTCTGACACCCCGTGCAACGAAGGGCCCGTTCTATGGCGACTGCTGAAGTTGAACTCCTCCGAATGGCACTACGGCCTGCTGGGCACGATCGGAGCAATCATCGCCGGTTGCGAATTTCCCTTGGTTGCGCTGACGATCGGCCAGGTTCTGACGAGCTTCTACAATCCTGACAAAAACTACATGGAACGCGAGGTGCGGAAGTATACCTTGATGTTCACCGCGGCCATCGTGGTCGTCATCATGGGCCACCTGCTTCAACATTTCTACTTCGCTGCCATGGGCGAGACCCTCACCGCGCGCGTTCGAAAAATGATGTTTTCAGGTGAATTTTACGAAAGAAATCGACACAGCCTCTTGTGTACCAGAATCTTTCTCGAGCTCCATTCCTTTCTGATCTGCAATGCACACGAATGATTGTCCAAATGCTCCTGTCCAGTCTTCTAGATGCACGCAGGAAGGACGATTGTGATAGTAAATGTGACTGAACAGAATCACCTAAACTCGACTCGCTGAACTGAACTGAATCGTTCAGGTATCCTACGGAACGAGATGGGCTGGTACGACAGAGAGGAGAGCAACAGCAATGTCCTGGCGCTGTCTCTCGCAACCGATGCAACATCGGTGCGGGCGGCCATTGCCGACCGGATCTGCATCGTCGTGCAGAACATATCTCTAGTGGCGACGGCGTTCGTGATCGCATTCTTTCTGCAATGGCGAGTGGCTTGCGTCATGTTCGCCACGTTCCCTCTGCTGATCGCATCTCTGGTGGGCGAGGTACGAGTCTGCACCTTTTGCTCGTTGTTCCATGTCTGATCAGAAAGAAAGAAGCTGCAGATTGCACGACCATGTGTGGCATGTGTGCTGAACTGCGGCAATCCTGACAGAAGTGTTGATACATTTCAGAACTTTTTCTTGAGGGGATTCAGTGGGGACTTGACCAAGGCGTATGCGAGAGCGAGCGCAACCGTAGGTGAGGCAGTCGGTAACATCCACACTGTGGCGGCCTTCTGTGCAGAGGACAAGGTCGTCGATCTGTTCAACAGAGAGCTCAAAGTGCCGCAGAGAAACGCCACCCTCCGAGCTCACATCGCAGGCGTCGGCTATGGGCTGTCGCAATTCTTCATGTACGGCTCGTACGCAGTGGCCCTCTGGTACGCCTCGTCGCTCGTCATGAAGCGCGAGGCCACGTTCGGCGACTCGATCAAGATCATCATGGTGCTGATCTTCGCCGCCTTCGGAGTGGCCGAAACCATCGCCATGGCGCCGGACTTCGTCAAAGGCGACCAGGCCCTTCTCTCGGTCTTCAAGATCCTCGATCGCAAGACGGAGATCGACCCCGACGATCCGAAATCCGAGAAGCTCACCGAAGTGCAAGGCGAGATCGAATTCCACAGCGTGGCCTTCAATTACCCGATGCGGCCGACGGTGTCTGTCTTCAAGGACTTGAGCCTGAGAGTGCGTGCAGGCACGAGCTTGGCATTGGTCGGAGAGAGCGGATCCGGCAAGAGCTCGGTGATCGCGCTGATCCAGCGATTCTACAATCCCATCTCCGGAACCATTTGCATCGATGGCAAGGACGTGATGAGGCTGAATGTCCGATCGCTGCGGCAGCACATCGGCGTGGTGCAGCAGGAGCCTGCGCTCTTCGCCACCAGCATCCACGACAACATTCTGTACGGGAAGGAGAGCGCATCGGAGAGCGAGGTCGTCGAGGCAGCGAAGACGGCCAACGCGCACAACTTCGTGAGCGCATTGCCGCAGGGCTATGAGACATCGGTCGGGGACAGAGGAATCAAGCTCTCGGGAGGGCAGAAACAGCGAGTGGCCATCGCCAGGGCGGTGATCCGAAGCCCTGCGATCCTGCTGCTCGACGAGGCGACGAGTGCGCTCGATGCGGAGTCGGAGAAACTCGTGCAACAAGCGCTCGATCGGATCATGAAAGGCCGCACGACCGTCATCATCGCGCACCGATTGTCGACCATTCGCAACGCCGACAGGATCGCCATGATGCGAAACGGCCACATTCTCGAACTCGGCACGCACGACGACCTCATGGGCCTCGACGGCGCGTACGCTCGATTCGTCCACATGCAGCAGTTCCGATGCCCTGCTTCGCTGTCGTTCACTCTCGACAGCGATCCCGCGCTCTTGAACTAGAATTTCTCCGCAAATTCCGATGTATCTCGGCGAAATATCTTCATTTCTGACTGTCGACGATCGATTCATGCTCTCGCGTCGACATGAACAAGAAGGTAGTCAGTCAATCAGTCAGTCAGTCTCGTTCACGCCCACAATTTGGTCGTGGAGGAGTAAACTCGGGAATTTCAACCTCACCTCCCGATTCCGAGGTGAGCTCGTACTGGCGCTAATTAAAATCCTGTCCTTCTCTGTCGGGCAATCACTTCGTGTAAATAAAATTTCGGCCACCCGGAGTATCATCTCTCTTGGAATTCGAGAAGAAGATGGCAAGCATAACCTGCGAAGAATTGGAGGGAACTGCGGAGGAGAGCCAAGACGTAACCTGAAGATCGGACTGCTGGCCTGCCTCAAAATATTTGGCTCGCCGTAATTTGGAACGATGGATGCTCTGCCCGAAAGAACAGAAGGAATTGATTGAGGACATAATTTCACCGTCGTGCGAATTGAGGTTCAGAAGAGCCAATTGATCGACCCAATTCTCTGATCTGCTTCGCGCCAACATCCATCGAACGATCGATCGATCTTCAGGAAAGACGTCTCCATTCTTTGCTCCAATTCGAGTACAGCCTCGAGTGAAATCAGACTCACTCGTTGAATGCGAAGCGCCGAATTCGAGCAGATTTAGCGCCGAGGGCAGTTATGCAAGCGAAGGAACTGTAGCCGTTGCCGGACAAGGGAGTAGATGGGTGGATGGATGGATACTCGGCGCAGTCGTTGTCAGTAGCGATTATTTTCACTTCTCGTTGTTACAAGTCTAAAGAGATTCCGGAGCCATAATGTAGAGGCAGTCTATGTATTTGATCTCTTGTCTTCGATATTTCTTCTCTTTCAGAGAGAAGCCCTGTAAATAATGAAACCTCTCGAGCTTCTGATTTTCGCAACCACATAAACTGATGATCTTCGTTACTGCAAAGAGTGTTGCTGCCTCTTTCTTTCCTTATCGATAAATTAATAATATGAAATAAACAATAAGAAGAGAGAGTAACCTGGAACTGAATTATCGAAGGATAAATCAATATTCCACTGACTTCTTATTGAACAAATCCAATTTCGGGATCAAATTATCAGCAGACAGTGACCTGCATACATACAAGGAGTGTCACGCAAGCCATAACATGCACGTACACTGTTATTTACTTACTTGTATTTAGATAAATCATTTGAATTATTTAGCTATGATGTAAATTGATTATGACAATTTAAATCATAGTTATATATACAAGATTTAGGCACAGTTGGGGCGTTGGAAGTGACCACTGGGGCCGGCCTACCCGGGTTAATTAGTATTTGCACAGGTCAGCATAAATTTGAAAACATTTGGGGCCAATTCTTAGTCATGTACCTGCAAATATCCTCTGGTGCATTTCTTCGTTGCAGTTTTGTCATCGAAGGCGGCATAGGTTCAAAGAATAGCTGCCCTGCCAAACACCTTTCCTCACTTTAAATGTAAATGTAGGTTTATACACGTCCGTATTGATGGAGCTATTCATCGAATTTTGGCTCATTCGACATTCAGGTAAGAACTGTGTGGGGATGAGTTCATCGGTTGGATTAGATGAATGCATAAATGCGTGAAAGACATTTAGCATCTGCGAAACCGACACGATGATGACACCAATCAGAGAACAGGAAAATATATTTTACCGAAAAGAGTCTCTCAACTCAGCTCAAATATACTGATTATCTCCAGACGTTCGCCACGAGTTCAAAACGGATTAGAATACTAATGTGGTGAACTTGTATATCAGTCATGTTGAATGGGCTCATGAGATCGACATATAAGTTGTAAGTAGATTTCATGTATGATACAACATACTTAACCTCCGCAATCATGCGAAAAGCTGAAGGGAGATACTTCCTCTTTCTTCTGAGACCCGAAATACTTTCCGACTTCAGTTTATAGAAGATCCTTTGGTGTAAAAGGAATCCAGGCAAGTTGAAATCGGTTGGGCATGTAAGTGAGACATATCAAGGTTGTTGAAAAAGGTATCGTAGAAAAGAAGTACGAGAACGACGGGTAACTACATTAGTCGAGAAACCTGCCGCCCTTAATTTCTTTAATTTTTTAAATCGATTTGAACCGTGTTGAGCCTCATTCATATTTATCTTGCAAGAAGAAACAAATGACTATAAGCTTAATAAGGATAGGAACGGAACCGATTTGCGTTGAACTGGAAGCACATTCTTATAAAGTTTAACCACTGTACAGAAGTCACCTAACTTTGTTGAACTCATACAGAAATACATCTATGCCATCTGCCTTAGTTTTACTCGAGGGTTCCAGATTCTCAAAAGGCCAACAGAAAGATACAACTCGTGCACCTACAGGTAACTGCTGAACAAGCCTTGGGTACAGCTTGCTATTTCCTTTCACCGTAAGATAGAGGACTACGACAGTTGCAGTTGACAGGTCTACCGTGAACGCATCCCTTTGCTCAAGAGTGATCATGTGTGCAAGACCCTCTTCTTGAACAGATCTAACTCCTGCTTGAAACAAATCCGAATCCAGCTCCACTCCATAGCCATGGGCACCATGGTGTTTGGCCGCTGTCAACCACCCACAGATTCATTTTAGACGTAGTTATAGAGAACGGAAGGAATCTATTACGGCTATTTCACAACAAAATTTGCAGTCCTTGGTATTCCTGCAATAAAAAGATGCAGAATCATGCGAAAACTTCGAATGGATAACAGTCCAAATTCTCAGAGGGTTTTGCTCTTGTATTCAACACAAACATCACAGAGGCATCAAGGACTAAGCAGATACCACTGATCACTGGGACAAAGATATTTCCATCCGTTAGCAGATATGCCGAGGATATCCTCAAGAATAACATCCGAAACATCTTAGTTAGCAAACCATATATTTTAACGTGATGATATCTTCCGCTTGGCAACGATTTTATTTATTACGAGCTCACTATTTGCTTCATCATTCCCAACAGCACAACACAATGAGGAATATTGAAAGCACGAAAGGCCTTGGGAACCGATCGATGTCCGTTGGCTCTGTACATCTTCGAATAATATACACAACAGAAAGATGATAGAGCTCAGGTCACATTTAGTTCATATTTTCACAACCCCTGCTTCAAAGCTAGAGGAAAGGATACAGGGTGGAATTTTGGAATTGAAGTGGAGAAGTGTTATTAAAACTTAGATGATATGTCCCCACTCAAATTATTGCACTCTAATTGAGATCATGTATGTGGGACTGTGTCTGAAATAGGGCTTCACTAGAGAACAAGACCAAGAATTCATGTCAAAATACAATCAACATCAGTCTCAGCAAGATAAAGACTAGTTCCACCCGGTGTGGAAAAATGATGACGTTGTTCTGGCTTTCAGTGGTAACCTTTCACCATCAACACATCATAAAATTTGTTGGCAAAGTGAACGATTGGACTAGTTCCAGGTACATTGAGAGCGTTCACTGATTTCCAGCACGAGAATCGTAGCAGCTGTTAGATATGAAAACAACTGGCAATGTACAACGAGCAAATCTTCAGTCAACCAAGCAACCAACCAAAAATTTGGACGTCAGTTCAACTGATTTTCTCATTCGATCAGTCGTCAGTCAACTGATTTTCTCAAACAGAGGCGAGTACAGAAAAGAAGTTCAATTTCGCACATAATCCTGTACAACGCAATTCGAGGCTAGTAAGACATCGAAATTAGACACGACAGACCACACCCATCACCATCGAAGAGACAGCAGGCACTACGCCACTCGGTTCAACAACAGATTGCTTTGGATTGCAAACGGAACGCAGATGTCCACCTACCCGCAATCAGAAGGCGAGCATCCCCACAGCCGAGATCGACCACGCGGTCGGCTGCGTTCACACGAGCAAGCTGCAGCATTCGGCGGGCAACATGAGGTGGAGTTCCGTGATATGGAGCCAGGCGCTGGCCAAACCAGTAGCGAAACCACAGCCCTAATCGAAGAGCTTGAGAATTCGAAGATCCTCCTCCCATTTGTTGGCTGCCTTCTGCTTCCCTCTGACGGAGTGGTGTTGAGCGAGTGCGGCAATTAGGTTTGACCGAAACAAGCTGATGAGAAATGACAAAACCGCATCCCTGAGTTCCACCCTTCCCCACCTCAAAAGTCTCTGTCCGATGCAACCACTCCTCTTCTGTCACCCTCTTTCCAGGGGCACAATTGATTCTCACACTCCCGGAATGTCTTTGAAGCAGGGTGCCTTCCGGGCATGTAATCCGAGTCCAGGTTTGGCAAGGGAATTAGCTAGCAAGAGAATCAGAATCGCTTGAAATTTGCATGGGCCGATGAAAATGTTCGAGCTGAGAACACGGCTGGAATTTGACATGAAAGTTATCAATGCACGGTGTGGAGATGAACGAACGATGAAGCCCACGCTCGCAAATGGATCACACTCATGCTCATGCATTCGAATTCAACTTTGCGATCGACAGTCCGCCATCGCAAGAAAGGCTTTATCTACACTGTGTGAAAAGGATGACCATCGCCACACAGTTCTAATCATAAGAGACGGCAGATTGAGCCGCAGGTTTGGAGCACATGGCATAAAGCGCGACTCGAGGGGTGCGGAATTCAGGGTGCCAGTCTGTCTCGGGGATTCTTCCCACCACGAAGTCCACTAGGGCTGCATCGAAAAACGCTTCGAGCACGGCGTCATTTCTCAATTCGCCCGACAGGAAGATTGTGGTGTGGCTTCCGCACAGAGCTCGCAAGGTATCGATTAGGTCTGGAACGACGTCCTCGTTGTAAACGACGTCAGATGCGATCACGAAATCGGCTTGTTGCGGTTCCAGAAGCTCTTTCTCTAGATCCTCTCCCCACGTGAGCTCCATAACTCGCGCGGAACCCCTCTTCGTCAGCTTTCGAGCGTTCTCGGTGACATTCTTCTGCAGCAACTTGAGGCGGTCCGGAAGGTCGGTCAGAATGACATCGCCTCCGAGCAGAGCTACCACGCAGCCCGCCAAGCCGCAGCCCGATCCGAGCTCGACCACTTTCTTCTGCTGGAGTTGCAGCAGATTAGCGTCCGCTGCATGCTCCAGAAATTTGGCCAAAACGATCCCGCTGTCCCACATCACGGCTCCCGTGTTGCCGGGCCGGTTCATAGAAGCAGGGGTCTGCACTATCGAGAGCTGGTGGCCGCACGCATCGACGTCGAGCCGCAATTCCTCTTGACGAGCGAACGCATTGAGGCGCGAGAGCGTCGGCTGCTGCAGAGCCCACAGCAGCATCACCTCCTCGCTTCCCTCTCGCACGAGCTCGACGGGCTTTGCCCAGGCCCCCACAAGTCCGCTGACGGGTCCCTCATCCTCTGCGTTCACTTCTCCGTCCTCCATACCTCGACGATCGAGAAGTCAATTTGGCCACGCTTCTGTATCCCCCTAGTCTTCAAGCCAGGCACTCTGTGTTCGTGCCCAGAGCCGCAATTCTCGAGTGAGGTCTCGGCTCTCTATATTCCATTCCTCGCTGTGATCCTCTGCCAAGGAGCACGGCAGAATCACAAATCCTGTTGGTTCTCCCTCGACCCTCTCTGCCTGATCGGCCTGCTAAGTAAGACGGTGGGCGACATGGCGAAGGGCACGGCACAAGATCATATGAGCCAACACGATGGACAGGCGTTTTCTTTCAATCGTCAGGGAGCCAATTTTGGACATTGTGTCGCTGCTTCTGCGCACGACTGTCTCGCCCTCATGAATGGCGAGCGGGAGAGAGAATCGGCATTCGTCTCTGGAGAACCTTCACCCTCGAGAATCACTTCCGATTTGCTCGTGGCTTTGTCGACCGAAGACACTGAATCGGAAGTTTGCGGGACTCAGTTCAGGGTTTAATAATCAAGTTTAGGTTTAGGCTTGGGCGTTGAACATCGCTGTGCATCTGGGAAAGCCGACAAGCGAGTCAAGTAGAGGAATTTTTTCATTTCTGGACACAGGACTCGAATAGAAACCAATGCAATGTACCCCGAGGTGAATTAGTGCGAGTGGAGTGGAGAGGGTGGCAGGCACACCGAGCCGATCGTAGCAGGACTATGAGCTGAGCTTCCTGCATGGTAGCAAAGCTTTGCAGTTCAGTTTGAGAGTTGGCTCAAATCTCAGGGAAAACTCTCTCATTCTTCACTTCCGATAAGTTTCGTGAAATTGTCCTTCTACGAGAGTTACAGAAAACGAACCCAGATTCGCCTTCAGACTCACGCATTGCCTCTGACACCTGAACCAATACAACGTTCAAAAAATGTTCGGCCCCATCGACTGATTCCGCTCACAAACTGAATTCGCTATCAGCTCATGGCGCATGAAAACAGCTCGACTCGAATTTGGGATAGTAGAGATCCGCAGCTGAGCGATGGTCGGATGAACGCCCCACTGATCTCTCTCGGAACTAGTGTTCGGTCCCTTCTGCAATTCCACCTCTTTTCAGGTCAGGGTCTGGAACCTTTATGCTCGGCTGGTGCGGAGACCGGATCGATCGGTTTCTCAGTCAGGCATTTCTGGCCTCCAAGCTCTCGGATTCTCGGAAGCATAGCATCTACACTTGTGCAAACGAAAGTGTCCAGCATTCAAACTCATACTCCTACAGCACATGGAAGATATGTGGTTATCCTGGTGGTCCGCAGACGTGATTGTGGCGTTGTTATTCGAGTCATCGAGCAGCGAGTCTCTGAGTGGTCATTAGCTGCATATGTGGTGTCAACTGATGGCCGAACTGATTGCAACCGACTAGATACGGCATTTGGGTGGTGCTGGGGTGTAGCATGCTCAAGAGGGGAGTACGAAGCACTTCTGCATTTCGAACTTGGTTCTATCCACACTCATTATCTGGGAACTGTTCGACCATTCTGACAACTGCAGTTCCGATTTCCCTTAGTAGTCCTGGATAACTGAAACAGATGTGATGACAGATAGAATTGGTAATACCCGGAGTTACACATTTGCCTTGTATAGATTTTAGACATGTGACCCTTTGGGGAGATGAAGGTCAGTGATACATACAGTACTCCACCGTTGTAAAAAACTATCACTTAGATTCATCTACACTAGAGTAGTTTCCCGATTTCGACAGTACGTTGATGCAAGTTATACTCTTCGCGTACGAACTCCACAGATCATCCCAGTGTGTTCATCTAACCAAGGTAATTATTGCTCAATGGTTCAATGACCACTTCGTTTTCTGCGACGGGCCCTTACTTTGTCGGAAGGAGGAACGCTAAACTCTGAAGCAATGGTGCTGGTGCCGAAACCTGAGCTGTGGTTCCATGCGGTCTGTTCCTGCTACAGGATATGCCTAAGGCTACTTTCTTGGCAACTTAGACAACTTGAAAACATATTCATCAAATTTGATCTAGCTAATCAAATCAAACTCAACATCGCTGACAACAAAATGTCGCAAACAAATACTTTGCTTGTGATGATACTCAACAGGCACAAGTCACTTGACATTACATAAGAGAATCAAGGCTCAACAGTACATCAACAGACAAAGTTTTATTACGAGGTAAAAATCATTAATTAATTATTATTTATCATAATTATAATTAATCATTAGTTATTGTCTATTAAAAAAAAAATATCTTAATCTTTTGTCAAATGAACGTAGCAAGGTATCCAGAAGGAAAAAATACAAATTTGAGAATAAAACGATGATTACAACCGATACTTTATAATGAAGATTTCCATGCTCAACAACAGAGAAGTGAGACCATTCAGATTTGCTGTACCCTTTCTCTCTATCTTCGGCGTTGAGTAGTTATGGAGTATTCAAGTGCGACTTTACACTTTGATCATTTCAGATTAAGAACACAAACGAGAGATTCAGGTGTACAGAAGAGCCTAACCCCACAAATAGTATAGCTTGCAGATTTTAGTCATACAATTTACCTGCTCCCAATATCAGCAGAATAAGATGTGGAAAATTACTCTCTAGTGGAACTCCTCATCGGATACTCTAATCAAAATATGAGGCCGGCACAGATGATAAACTGGCGTCACTAAGCTGGGCAAGATTAAAAAGAGCCCAGACGATTGAAGCCCTCTGCACATGATTCCTACATAAACCTACAGTTGTTTCGAGTTTCTGAGCGTCTAGTTCGAAACTAACAAGAAGAAGAAAATTGCTACATGACTTCGGAAACGGGCCTATCCCGTGGCAATATAAACAAAAGAGTATTTACCGAGCATGGGTCCCTCATCTTACACTTTCAAGAGCCTCAATCATGACCACGCTGTTACCGCGGATGACCTGCAAAAAAGAAAAGGAACAGGCATAAGTAATGCCGCCTTGCGTATGCAGTGTCTCCAGTGAGTTCACCCACGACTAAGACGGACACCGGCACTCGACTCCAATATTGCCAACCGGTGCCAACCATAGTACTAAATGTGAACAACAAGCTCCAGATCAAGGAAGCAAAAGTGGGGCAGAGAGGCAACATACCACCATGCCAATTTCATTTCGCTCGTTCCCGTTGATCTCAACGGTGTTATCGAGCACAAGGTTCATAAATTGATCGAAACCTCGAAGAACTCCAACGACGACACGGTTGGCGTTGAGCTTGACTGCATCAACAAGGCCGAACATCTTGTTTAGAAAATTGCATGAGAACAGCAATCTCAAGGCAATCTGACCGGCACACACTAAATTTACTTACGAAGACCAATCTCATCTTATTTATCTGGTACGATCTCTACAGAGTTCGAACCCATTCCCAGTCTTTCCCGAGCTCACTCCTAACAAAGTTCATAAAAGAGCATGATATATAAACTGTGAGACTCTAAGCATGAAAATGTATGATGCACGATGTGAACCCAAAAAACCTCTTCCAGATAGCTCGATCACAAGCAATAGACATCGACAAACGACCGTAAGGCTACAATTACTCCGGAATAAAATACGCCTCTTTCCGTCTGAAATCAAAAGCACTTACTGTTGAGCTTCCTGTCCATATACCTGTTACACGGGCAAAAAGCAAAAGACTAGATCAGAATTCACTTCATAGTCTGCATTTCATTCTACTTCAATTTTCTTCTTTGCGGGAAGTTTCAGAGAGTTTCAAGATTACAGAAATGGCAGTGGGCTCGAACACAGGACACATACACTACAGGGACTGAGAAAATCTCTTGTACATTTACGTGTAACGAGCTGGGCGGTAAGCATACAAATTGAGCAGTAACTAAGACATGGTCCGCAGCGAAGGGCGAAAAACAACTACAACGCATAAAGGTCAAAAGACCGTGGCACTCCGACCATGCGTTTAAATACCGCACGGAAGAAAAAAAACCGTAGAGCTGCGGCATCCTCAAATTTTCAAACAAATATCGCAGCTCACGTAGCTAAATCACAGACGATCTCATGTGTAAGGACCTAGAGACGAAATTCTGACCACACAAGAGGGAAAACAAAACAAAATGACGAGCACAAGAATAACGCACTTCTTCAAATCCGGAGGCTGTCCTGACTTGCTCATGGTGCCGGGCTGATCTTACTGCTCCCTGCAAAGCACTTGCGCTGACAGTAAATCGAACTCCCGTAGGCGTCGACTGTCAGAAACAAAGTTGGGAGAACACTGCGAGCTGAACGAGCGAGGGCCAAATTGGACGCACTTCGCTCTCTCCCTCGCGCTCGCGCGGACCAGTTTGAACTACGAACCCTAATGGAAAGCCAACCCTCACACTTCCCGGTCTGGCCGTGGAATCCACTCGCATTTCGTCGCGTAGCCTTCAAAAGAAAACCGGTTTCGCCGGTCTGTCCTGCGGTTCCAGCGAAGTGGCTCCATGTGCACTGAGAAAGGGGACAAGTGAATAGAAATGAAGATGGGAACCCTCTCGCGGCCAAGGAAATAATCACAATGTACCAAACCATTTACAATGGAATATATAAATATATTGTATGATTATGTTGTGTTGCATCCAATACTACATCATTTTTCAATCTGATTGTTTCATTTTATATAATGCTAGGTAATGATATATGTAAATGAATGGAAAAAAAAATTAGGAATAGAATAAAGTGGAGAATTTGGTGTCATTATCACTAGAATAATACTCTGCTATGCATATCAATATCGATAGTTTCATATTACTCCTATTTCTGAAAGAAAAAATCTCTGTGCATAGCCCTCTATTTATATTGTTTTGCTACAACCGCCGAAGAGGATGAGTAATTATCATTTCTAGGATTGGAAATCATCATATAATCAACACATACCAACATGTTTTTGTATCAAAATTTTAACATATCATCGATTAGTTTAACATCATATATATGTATATATAACGATATAAAACGAATATATTCTAGTGATGATTACAAAAAATTCTTCACTTTATTCTATTCTATTCTATTTTTTTGCATTCATTTACATACATCATTACCTAGCATTATACAAAATGAAGGAACCAGATTGAAAATGATGTAGTATTGGATGTAACATAACATAATCATACAATATATTTATACATTCCATTGTAAGATAAAGCATGATCTGAGATTAAAACTTTGTGGAGATTGGGAAACCAGTATTTTGCGGTAGCCTAAAAATTCTGGAGTTTAATGTATTCTTGAGTCGGAAGTTACGTGATTTTTGGAGTTTTGACTTCGTGTTTTGAGTGTTCAGATAGTTACCAAATTGTTCAAACAATTTCATCTTAAGATGGAACATGATATGAGGCTGAAACTTTATGAGGATTGGGAAACCAGTATTTTGCAGAAAGTTTAAATTTTTGAAGGTTAAAGGATGCTTGACTCGGAAGTTATGGGATTTTTGGAGTTTCGAGTGTTCAAGTGGCTACCAAAATGTTCAGATAATTTTATCTTTAACATGTAACATGATATGGGGCTGAAACTTTGTGGAGACTGGAACACCAGTATTTTGCAGTAACCTAAAAAGTTTAAAGTTTAATGGATGCTTAAGTGGAAAGTTATGAGATTTTTGGAGTTTAAACTTTGAATTTCAAGTGTTCAAGTGGTTACTAAAATGTTCAAACAATTTTATCTTTAAAACACAAGATTTTCTGGGGCTGAAACTTTGAAGTTACTGGAAGAGCAGTATTTTGCAGTAACCTGAAAAGCTTGAAGGTGAATGGATCCTTGAGTCGAAAGTTACGGGATTGTTGGAGTTTAAACTTTGAGTTTTGAGTGTTCGGGTGGTTATCAAAATGTTTAGACTATTTTATCTTTGAAACTGAGCATTATCTGAATCTGAAACTTTTGAAAGCATTGGACGAGCAATGGTTTGCAGTAGGCTGCAAAGTTTGAACCTGAATGGATGCTTGAGTCCGAAGTTACAAATTTTTGGAGTTTCGACTTTGAGCTTCGAGTGTTCATTTGACAACTAAAATTTTCAAAAAAATGTATCTTCAAGAAAAAACACAATCTGATCTTGAAACTTTGTAGGTACCGGGAGATTGATAGTGCTCACTAGTGTGCAAAGTTTGAGCCTGAATGGATCTTTGATGCTACAAGATTTTTGGAGTTTTGACTTTGAGTTTTGAGTGTTCGGGTGGTTATCAAAATGTTCAAACAATTTTATCTTTGACATGAAGCATTATCTGAAGCTGAAAATTTGAATAAACTAGGAGAGTAGTAGTTTGCAGTAGCCTGAAAAGTTTGAAACTGAATGGATGCTTGAGTCTGAAGTTACGGGATTTTTAAAGTTTTGACTTTGAGTTTTAAGTGTTCGGGTGACAACCAAAATCTTCAGAAACATGATCTGTTCTTGAAACTTTGTAGGAACTGGGAGATTAGTAGTGCGCACTAGTTTGCAAAATTTGAGCGTGAATGGATGTTTTCGTCTGAATCTACAAGATTTTTGGAGTTTTGACTTTGAGTTTTGAGTGTTCGGGTGGTACCAAAATATCTAGTTGCTACGATACGGCTACTGAAGACAATATTTTTTAGCTTATGCAAACAATGTTTGAAGAATTGAAGGAACCTTGTCATGAATTCAAGATACAATCGGCTGCTTTAACTCTTGCACACAATCAAATTCGAGAGTTAAAGGTATCACATAAGGGTGTGGAGAAGTTGTTCAAGGACACTTGTTCAATGATGTTCAACATGTCTAAATCTGTTGATGACATCAAAGTAAAGGTATGCTCTCAAATGACAAGTGCGGATAGTCCTAGATTGCATGAGGTGATTGAAAGCTTAGATTTAAAAATGAAATCCTACGCTGAAGCTACAAAGGTTGCTCAAACCTCTTTTTGTCAAGAAGAAGAGATTGAAAAGTACATTCAGTTTGCGCGTAGTAAGAATGTGAGAATTTCAGGTTTACTTAAAATAGAGAATGAAGATGTCAACAATGTTACACCAAGTTTTTGGATGAAACACTTCATGTTTTGTGAGCTGTAACGCTCCACCTTTTAGCGTTTGTAATCCAGGTGGGGGTCTCAGCCCACACTATCTAAATCTCCGTTTTCAAAATCTTTATAAATTAGTATGGCAGAGTTTCCTTCTAGTGACAACGGAATCAGTGTCTGTTATTTGATATTTTTATCGTCTCTCAAAGTTGTAAGCCTGTCTTGTGCATTGAGAATTCAAACATTACCGTGAAGTTTTTCCTTCAGTGAAAATACAGTTGACAAAAATATCATTCAATATGATTTGAATATTTGAAACTGTGAACGATCTAATGATGATCCAATATTTCAACGGAAGAGCTAAGATAAGCATATGCCTAAATTGAGATATATTTCAGAGAAATTAAGAGATAAGGTTTAGGTAGGATCAAGCATATATTCGATTGTAGTAAAGCTAGGATGAGACAATATTTCAAGCATGTCACCACTATACTATCACTACACTATCAACTATCAACAGAAACAATGTTTACTCCTTTCCACCATCAAGCCACTTGCAACAACAGATAACAAGATACAACCACGAGGTCCTTCAACAAAAGATCTACGTGCATGCTGTGAGAGCGTTGCATCTTGAGAAGAAAGAAATACCAGCGAGACTAAGTTATCCTGACATCTACACTTATGCTCTCTCTATCAAACAACGACACAAACCAGTGATCGATCAACAGAAAATCATGCATAGAAAACGAACGAGACGGTCAAAGCGACCAATCAAGGTGAGATCTCGAGGAGAATGGCTACAGCAGGTATGGAGCCTATAGATGCAAAAGTCACGACTCCAAAGCGTCCAAAGCTTATACTGACGCTGTAAATGTTGCTGCAAACTCCATGCGTCAAAAAAATTGGACTTCAACAAAAAAACAATATCACAACTTGAATTCTCGAAAGGAAGGACGAACTCATGAAAAGAAATACCGTAGGAGTCTCAGAAAGTGTCCCTTTGTATACAAATATCAAATAAACATATAGAAATCATGGGACCCTTCATGCCTCTCATGGATGACAATGTTTACAAAAGCGATCCTTCTAACTATTGAAACCAGTTCGTAATGCGTATTGTTAGTCACATCATCTACACACTTGACAGTTGAGAGACACATGCTCTGCAATCCCAGCTTCGTGAGGTAAAAATATCAGCGCACTGCTTCCATAATGCCATAACGACCAACTCCAAAACCGATTGAAACCTGCTGTAACTCATCGTACGATCAAATGAGGTGGTAAGAAGAGCTAGAGGGCCAATGTTTCTCCATAGGTGCCGCAAAGCCCGAGGCAAGGGTGGATTGGACACTCGAGAACGACAGTTAATGATTTAGGCAAGATTTGGACAACGAGTCCATGCTCTTCCAAGCAAGGAGCAAAGGTAGAGGCGTGAAAGGAAGAGCATTGTCAGCTAACAAAGGAAAGATGGAGAAGGTCTTGCAGTTTATGTAACCTCTACAACATCTCGGGCCGTTAATAAAAGCAGTCTACCGAACACCTCGTCCTTCCTCTCTCACTTTTTTCTCTCTCTTTCTCCCTTTCTCAGTAGCTCGTTCTTTGTCTCTCCCTCGACCTCCCGCTGCACAACAAGTGCCTCTCGCAAGTGACAAAAACCAACCAGCGAGCAAACACAGCAGTTGCCCAGCCCTCCGCCTACCCTTTCCCTTGTTGAGGGGGTTCTTGTGTGCTCCTGCACACGAGAACCCCCTCTCCTCCGGTAAAATGACAGCCAACACCTCCAACCCAGCACCCCAACCGAGCCCCAACAGCCGGACGCCACAGCGGCAGAAACCCTAAACCTCCCCCACCAATCTTTGACACCTGGCAGCCGCCAAGTGCTGCCAACAGCAGCCGCGCAGCCACGTTGGACCGACCATTCCGCCGCCCGGTGTTGCCAACAACAGCCGCACAGCCACGATGGCTTGATCGATCCGCAACCATCCTCACCCACACACCACTAGATGCTGCCACGCCGCATCCCTCCCACCTGCGCCACCGCGCCTGAACCTTCTACATGTGCCATGGCCGCCGCGTCCAACCTCTCGCATGCCGCACCAATGTTCACAGTCCGACAGATTGCACATCGCAAGACATAAAATTTCAAATTCACCTCTACTACACACATTTCTTCATCCTCATTTTCACACTGTTCGCAAGAAGGTGCAACAGCCCTCGCCTCCGTCTTTTTGCTTTGATGGACGATGTTGTCGCCCATCGAACCAATCAGATGAAGGCAAGGACAACCTTGCACCCTCACGGTAGGCTTACGCTCATCGTGGCAAGGAAGTTCATCTTTGGCATTGT